TTTTAACCAACACCGTAAGAAATTCTTATTATCAGGGAAATTCAAGAAAGAGCAGTATGTATATATTATACAAATAGTATCCAATTCCCATACACCACAGGAACTTGGAACATACAAACATTACCATGTATAATTTTAGCTTGTCAGTCACTGGACTCAAGGCTTTCCACATCTCTTTTGGTCTTCCCAACATTCCGTAAGATAAAGAGTGTTACCATTTCCAGGAATCAGACTCTGAAAGGTTGAATAAATACACCAAGATCACAAAACCAGCTCTACCTGTCTGCAAAGGCTATGCTTAATCAGTCTGTATTCTCTTCTGCTCAGTGCTAACTCTTGCATGTTAGGAAAGGAAAAAAGGGGGAGGGAAAGAAGGAAACAGAATTCCAGTAAGTGCACTTCAGCTTTTCAAGAGATTATTAAATACACATAGTAAGTTAAAAAGCTAAATCCATCTTAAAATGCTGCAGCGGAAGTGTAAAATTTTTTAAAAGAATCATGTACAAGTCAAGGGAAGACCTAACGGACTAGATGGTTATTAGATAGATGGAAGATCATAGTTGATTTCTTTCTTTTTTTTCATTTTAACAGTTTTTAATGAAAGCTGTATATAAAATTACTGTATTTCTGCATCTTCTCAATTGTTTCTTCCTTATATTTGCCATTTGCCTTTCCTATTTGGCAAGATTTGGCATTCCATTCAAGGATCTGCCTGCGGTCTTTGTTCAGCTTTAGTCTAGTGATAACCACCTTGCTGGGGCGAATGCCCACATGAACTGTTAGTTCAATGTAGAGACATATTTCTTCCTGTAACCCTGGACTACTTTGCAAATTTGCTGCCCTTTGTCATGTCCTCGTACAACCTAAACTTTATCATCCTTTCAGAGGGGCATGGATCGAACATTGTACTTCTGTCTCAGCGCCTTGGAAATAGGAGAAAACATAATCTTCCTGCAAATGTGGGAATGTGCATTGAAATGCCTTTTAGGGTTCTTGCTCCAGTCAGAAGTCACAAAGAGGTTGAACTTCACTTTGGCCGCTGGCAGGCACTTCAGCGATAGCCACAGAAGGGAAGAGTTATAGTTGCTTTCCATATTAGTGTTCAGGTTGATGTTATTTTCTTAGGAAGTATAGAGACCCTTTTGGTTGAGCAACTAGAGGAAAGAATAATTGGTTCACGATACTTGAGGGGATCTGGAGTATTATTTCTCTGAAGTTGGCAATTTAAACTCTAAGGAGCTCATCCTTTTCTGGTGGGTGCAGCTCTTAATTTTGGCTGAAGGAACTAAGACAAAGGTCATGCACCTTCTGTACTTCCAACCTTTGTTCTGCATTAATGATTTCGAGAAGGGAGATTCTTCAAAATCTCTTCATAAGCAATCCTAGGTGTAAGAATCAGGTTGTCTTGTACAAAAGCAAGAAACAATCGACCTGAGTTGAGCTAACTTTTTCAGAGAACACAAGCTGAGTTGAGCTAGTTTTTGTGCAGAACACAAGCTCTAAGGTTACCTTGAAAGGCCCAGTGAACAAAACCTTCAGAACTTTGATGCAGAAATGGGACAGATAGCCCACGGCAAGAAAGGGTGGAAAATGTCAGCAAATTGTGATTGAAATTAATGCTCCTTTTAGTTTGTGGGATTGGTCTAAATGCAGACTGTGGTGAATATTTTTCAGTTTTGTTATAGAATGTGGCTGCTTCCTTGGCTTAAAAAGAAAAAAAAAATCCTGTTTCTTTGGTTTCTTTGTATCAATGTGTCATAATATTTCTGCTTCACAGTTAGGGGAAGTAATCTTGGAAATAGACAAGTATGGTGGGATGGAATTTACAGTTTAGGAGACCACAGTTTGGCCATAAACTTAGCTCACGAGAGCTTCCAAAAAGGTAACAGACCCATCAGCATTTAATAGGGCATTTAAAAGAATGAGTCTGTACAATGGGAAGGCCATTATAACAGAGCCTGATAGGCCAAAAGGGCCTGGCTATAAAGCAGCATCAGAACCCATGTTGATTCCAATTCTTCTTATGCAGATATGATAGGCTAGAAATTAATCTAAGGACTTTGTGTTAGAAAAGCAAAATAATATCCCAGGGGGCATGTTTAAACACTGGGATGAGGGGTTGGGCAGGCAGTTTTCACTTTCAAAGCACAATTTGCATATGAGGAAGCATCCCAGTGAGTATAAATCATTTTAACGTTTGTGTATATTGAATTTATTTCACTTACATGTAACTTTTTAGCTGGAAATAGGTTTTGAAGACCTGAATGTGTAAAGTTAAGAATGTTGAAGAAAAGGCCCAGTTCTCAAAGGCAGAAAACACTATTACAAAAGTGGTGTGTTCTTGTAGGTGTTTGACGCCTTGCATGCCTGAGATCAGGGGGTAAACCCATTGTTCCTTGAGATCCTCCCAATTCTAAAAGCTATAAATCTATGAACCAGAAGAAAAATAAAACCTTTTCTATTTAGTATGTCTTTATCTAAGAAACATTTTTCAACTAGATTGTATTATATCTTCATGCCATGCCATATTCTATCTATGTACCAAGTGGAAAATGTAGTCACAAATATTTTTTGGCCAAATATAACTCTGTTCTGGAAAACGATTTCCTCTACCAACCACAGCTATTCAAGGCACATCTTAGAATGTAGCATAGGGGCTGGCCAAGTGGCTCATTGGTTAAGAGTTGGCTTGGGAGCACGAGCAGCAGGGCCACCGGTTTGGATCCCACATGGGCCAGTGATGCTGTGCCCTCTGCAGCTAAGATGGTGAACAACAGCTCGACCTGTAACTGGACTGCTGTGAGTCACCGATGATGGTGTAGGCTGCAGTGTGGCTGCAATGGGCTGCTGTAAGCTACCGTGAGTGGCTGGCAGCCGCCATGAGCGGCCGTCCAATGGCCAGCGACCAATCTGCCTCACCTGGGAAGAGCGCAATGATCACAAAACCAACATGGGCCAGTGAAGCGACATCCTCCACAACTAGAATGAAGAACAAAAGGACAGCAACTTGTCTATTCCCCTTCCCCAATTTCCCAATGCTGCTCCCTCCCCCTAATTCCCCAATAAAATAAAATTTAAAAAAAAAAGAAATGTCTTAAAAAAAAATAAAAAGAATGTAGTATAGGTGTCCAAGGAATCCCCATCAGGGTACCTTAGGCCCCTGAAACAACTCTTACGAAAAACTCCAAATTACAAAGCCATCTGGGACAGGCATGTGTGTCTGCCCCCTTTTTCTTGCAGATCTCTAATCTTGTCAACCAGTTGGCTGTGCATTGTGAGAGAGGAGAATGGGAGCATCCTGTAATAGCCAAGCAAGTTGGCTTTTAGACATCTCCATACAGCTGTCTCATAAGTCTATTATACTTAACATAAAAATTGTCAATGATATTGTAACAGCTATATACGATGTTAAAGGGGTAGTAGATTGGGGGTGGTTATCATTTTGTGATAAAATGTCTAACTATTACATTGCTTTATACACCTAAACTAATAGTAATTTTTTTAAAAAAACCAAATCCCCAAAACATGTTCTAACTCCAATCTTTCCTATCTCAGTAAATGGCACCACCATATATCTACAAGTTCAAGTCCAAGCCTAGGACTCATTCTGGTTTCTGCTTTATCTCACTCCCCAAATCCAATTCATCAACAAATTTTAGAAATCCTTCTGAAATAAATCCTGAATTTCACCATCATTCCTATTACTGTCCTACTCCAAGTGACCATCATCATTCACCTGGACCACTGTAAAAGTCTCCTAACTATTTTCACTCTTGCCACAGTGAAATACTCCACCTCTATACAACAGCCTATAGCCAGAGGATAGAATCATCCTTTAAAAATGTGAATCAGTCCATACCTCTTCCATGTTTATTTCAAACTTGTCTATGGCCTCCCGCTATGGCTAGAACATAGTCGATAGTCTTCCCATACCCTGTAATATCCCACGTGATCGGGCCTCTGCCTCCCTCTGCAATCTCAAACTCCTACCTCTCAACCCTTTGTTCAGTTCACCCCAACCACATTGTCCTTTACTTCCGTCCCATGAACCTTTACACCAAGCTCCTTTGCACTCAGTGCCTTTGGGTTGCTGTTCCCTCTGCCTGATAGGCTTTCCCCCGGGCCTTCTTATATCTATCTCCTTCTCATAATTCAGGTCTCAGCTAGGTTATTAACTCCTCCGAGAAGTCTTCCCACCTCTCCCCTCCTTATTCATTAGATTTATTTTGTGATTTGATTTTTTTTAACCATGTGCATCTATTACTTTGATGTTTTAATTAAGGTAAATATAAATACATAAATAAATAAACTGTCTAGTCTCTATTATATCACTTTGTTTTCTTCATGGCAAGCATCGTTATCCCAAATTAATCTTCTTTATTTACGTGTTTACTTGTTTATTGTAGGACTTGTTTCAATGACCCCACATCTACCATGTCAACCAGAGTATCCCAGCACCTACAAGGTCTTTTGTACATTGTAGACTCTCAGTAAATATTTGTTAATTGAGTAGATTTCATTCACCTAAAGGAGAGGTAGTTTCCTTTTGGCTGAGAATGGACACATGCATTCTTTTGGAAAGAACGTTTTGGTTTTTTTTTAAAGATTTTTATTGGGGAATTGGGGGGGGGGATGAGAACAATGCTGGGGAATTGGGGGAAGGGGAACAGACAAGTTGCTGTCGTTTTGTTCTGCAGGCTAGTTGTGGAGGATGTTGCTTCACTGGCCCAAGTTGGCACCATCATTGCGCTCTTCCCAGCCGAGGCAGATCAGTCGCCTGCTTCTGGACGGCCGCTCACTGCGGCTGCTGGCTGCTCACGCTGGCTACTGGCTACACACGGTAGCCCATGGCAACCTACTGCCACAGGGGCTGCAGCCTACACCGTCGCCGGCGACTCATGGCAGCCCAGCTCCAGGTTGAGCTGTTGTTCAGCATCTTAGCTGTAGAGGGCAGTGTCACTGGCCCTCATATGTGGGATCCGAACCAGGGCCCTCTGGTGTCCCAAGCCAGTTCTTAACCATCGCACCACTCAGCCGGCACCTGGAAAGAACGTTTTAATGAAATATTTTGTTCAAGTTGGGTTCTGTTTGCCTAATAAGATACTATTGCTAAAATCCGTCACATGGAATACCCTTGAATTGAGAAATTGTCAATATACATGTGGAGTAACAAAGATGGCAAATCATATCAATACCCATTTCAGCATGTCAACGATGAGTTTCATAACAAAGTGAAAAATTGAAAAGCCAATTTAATATTGATTTGGATCTGATAGCTAATATCTGAATTCTGCTTTCTAGGCAGTGGTAAGCTGTGTAGAATTGCTGATGCTGAAGGTGAAACCAAAAGATCAGAATGCTCTAGGCTGGATTGCAGCACAGTGAAAATGGAAGAATAAGAGGTAAGGAGAGTTGCTTAGAGACTCCAGGTAGGATACAAAGTTGTGAGGAAGTGGTTAGGGTAAGTGGTTTAGAATTAGGGCTTTGAAAGATAAGAGCTTTCATTGCTTAAGTGCCCGCTATGTGCCAGGCCGTTGTCTATACTCCTTACAGAAACAATTTACGTTGGTATTGTTTCCTCATTTTCCAAATGAAGAAGCTGCGGCTCAGGGGGCTAAAGGACTTGTCAAAGTTACATACCTATGTAAAAAGTAGAGCAAAGACGTAAACTAGATTTTTCAAATCCAAAAGCTGACACGCTGTCCACTGTACCACACTGTCTTCCTTGTGATGATACCCTCCATTTATTTCTGTAATTCCTGACACCAAGTTTAGGACCTGGCACAGCATCCTAATCATGCCTACTACTGGTCAGTAAATGCTTCTGCTGCCAGTGAAGGGGACACCTAAATGAAGTGGCCAAGCCCAGCTGCGTCCAAGGTTTGCTGACTCAGCAGTTTTCAAGCATCATGCTCACACCTCTTCCTCCTCTTTTCTTTCCCAGCACTGCCCCACAGCCCACCTCTACCTCTCTCAGCTGGGAAAAGCATCTGCCAGGTGCTAATAAGAAAGGTACCCTGGCCATAGCATGAGGGGAAGAGGCAGCTCAGCACCATCACTGCCGAGAGCGGGGGCAGACTTAGGCAATGTAATCTGAAGTGCTGAAGTGTGCAGCTCATGGAGAGAAATGGACGACGTGCAAAATTGAAGAGGAGGATAAGTGTAAGAAGAAAAATTTCCTGACAGAGATGAATTACTTACAGGACTAACCTCCCTGAGGGAAGAGATGTGGCTCTATTCCCTAACTCCCACGCAGAAAACATGCTATAGAGGAAATGCAGGAGACAAGGGGGGGGGGAGACATTAATGACTAATGGGAGCTTTCCACCTCTGAGTTTTATGAAGATGAATGAAGCACTTTTGAATGGAGGAAGAAATAAAAATGGAAAGATGGAGCTGACTAAGGTGCTGCAAAAATAAAGAGGGATGGATGTTTGGGGCCCTCGTGCTAAGTAAGGAAAATCATGTCTTCCAACCGGGAGGTGCAGAGCTGAGCAGTTCAGAGATTTGAATTCAGAGTTCAGTCTCTGCCACTTACCAATTGGATGAATCTGTGCAAATCACTTAACCAATGTGAGTTACAAAATAGGAATAACACCCTATTTTATTGGTTATTTTTACTGTAAAATAGGGATAATACTATGGCGAAGGGTTCTTATGAAGATTGAATGAGGTAACTCATGTAAAAACAGTGCCTACCATGTAGCAATCAGTCAATTAATGGCAATAATTATTATTGGGTCATGGCTTTGTGTGGAGGGGGAAATATAGCTGGGTCACTATTATCAAGGTCAGATTATGGGGACAATTCTTCCCTTTGAACAACAGTGCCTCCTTGGTTTTTCTATTTGCTGTGTTGATAGTTCATACCCTCTCTATTGATTTGGACTTTCAGGTCACAGAGAAGATGAACCCAAATATAATAGATGCCACCTCTACTCTTAGGCATGCTTGCCAAAAAGCAACTCAACCCATGTAGGTGCTCTGTATCATTCTGAGGATCAAGCCACCTCCCTATAGAAGGGTGCTTGCACAGAAGATAATACTAATAACACTGTACATTATTTAATCTTCTACAGTTTACAAAGTACTCTTACCTGGGAAGGGCTACTGTCTTCATTTTATAGATGAGGGAGCAGAGAGTTTGAGAGGTGAAGCCACGAGATTAAGGTAACATAGACAATTGGTCGGTGCAGCAGGGATTCACACCCAGCCCTTCTGACTCCAAGTCTGGGACTCTTTTATAACACAGGGTGCTATAGAGGATGTGAACAGTTAGCAGGTTAAAAAGGTAGTTGCTTCCCATCATAATACATTGAATTTTAGAACAGGAATGAGCTTTCAGTGTACCTAATGCTGTGGTTTTTAAACTGGATTCCAGGAAACCCAGTAGGACGTGGGAAAGACAAGCAGGAGGTTGAGATTGTATGCAGCTCACCTTTTATCAATTACATTTATAGCATTACAATGTACTTTGAATAAATGTTAAAACATTAAGACTTTCCCTAGAAAAGAAGAAGAAAGTTTGAAAACCCTCTATCTAGTTCAACTGTTTCATTACTCCCAGGATGTTGAGGCCCAGTCTGGTTAAGCAATTTGTCCAAATCTCATAGTTAGTTAGGGGCAGAGCTAGGACCAGCAGTCAGGCCTAGTCACCTGCATATTTGATAAGCATGCATTAATGTTTCCAAATATTTTCTCATTCTCCAAATATTTTCCATCGATAACCTCAGGCAAGTCACTTAGTTGTGACAATCAAATCATCAAGGAGAAAGTAGGCCTGGGGTTATTCTCTCCTGATGACTCACCATGTGACCTTGGATCAGTCCATTGATCTCTGAACCCTCAGCGTTTCCACAGGTAAAGTGGGATGATAATTCCTGTGTAGGCAACTCTCAGTAGGGCTGTTGTGATGACTATAAAACAGAACATGTGGAGGTTCATGAGGTTCTTCCAGGGAAGGAGGCTCAGAAAGTTCAATATGTTATTATTTACAAACGCCTACCAAGTGTGTCATTGTTTCTAAGCTGATCTCTGCAATTTACCATCCTTGCTTACTTGTTGTTCCTCATTTGAGAGGGCAATGTAGTTTATTTTTGTAACCCTACCAAGTACTACTTGTTTATGAAATAGCCTCAAAACTTCTTATCACATTGGCTTTCTGATAAAAGGTTGTGATTTCTGACTACTTGCATGGGGAAAGTAAATCTTTTAAGGTTCAACACTTTTCATTCTAGACAAGTTATAGAGGCACTATCACTACAGGGTTCTAGCGAGCCTGGGGATCCCAGAGCGAGATGAGATCAAAGAGCTTGTGTGCAGGTTACAGAGATGGAACGCTTCCACCTACTCGGCAGTTTCTCTTCCTTCAGGAAGGAATACTAAAGAAATACCATCATGACCTTCAGGTTGACCTTGAGAGCAGACTAACTTGACCTTGGCCAAGTTCTTATTATCTCTGAGCTTATGTTTTCACTTGTAAAAGGTAGATATTTGCCTCCCTTTCCACCTCATAGGGCTGCCAAGGATCAAAGGAGAGAACACGAGGTGACATGTTTTTAAAACTGTCAAGTATACACTAACTTAAAGGATTGTTCCTTTTAGGAATGTGTAAAATACTACAATTATTTATAATACACATTTCAACTAAATCATCTCAACTTGTGACAAGTACCCACTTGGAATGTTCAACGACTCAGGTTGAAGAAAGATGTTTCCATTTATGCTGATTTCTCTGAAGAAAGCCAAGTGACAATAGACCAAGGCAGAGTTAGAACTAGGGAGTTATCTCCTTAATTGACAATGATCACAAAACAAGAAGTATTTTTATATCTTCAATTAAGAACATTTTAAATTTAAAAAAGAAAAAGAATATAAACAGAACTTTACCAAAATCCTATTCTGGATACCCCAAATAACATCATCTCTTGGAGAGCAGCATTTCTACATTTCCCCATGTTGATACTTCAAAAAATCTAGACCTCATTTCCTTTATGCAGACAAGCCAGCCACAGAAGCCGACCAATATTTTAAGACTGCAGTGTTTACTAATGGATGTCTGGCTGGGAACAGTTGCTGGCAGAATTCTGGCGGAGGCACTCACTCCCACTAATGATGTGGAACAGGGCTGCGTAATCATGTCCACTTGTATTAAGTCTACCCAAGGCTGTCATGTTTTGCAGTAGAACCAGTAACAAGCACCCCCGAAAGTCCTGGGAGTTTCCTGGAAGAGGCATTACGTCAGAGCTGGTTCAGACCTTCCCAAAGTCATTGCTCCAGCCATTCATTTCATTTAGGATCTTCTGTTCATTTTTGTACAGTGGATGTGAGACTCCTTTACAAAAAATTTGTAGAGACATTAGGACAGTATAGCCTCTATATGGACCATCACAGGCCAGGGAAAAATCTATCAAATGTTCCATTTTGACTGTCTGGACATTCTTACTGTATCACTCTTCTGGGGGAGAGCAACTTCTATCTGTTCTAAGAGACTAATTCCAAACTTAGATATGTGGGGATCATTTGGTATTTAATAGAATTCAGGTAATGCACATAGCCCTAAAAATTATAATTAATAAGGAGCTAAGCAAGGAAAATGAATAACAGCAATTCTTTCTTTTTTTTTTTAAGATTTTTATTGGGGAATTGGGGGAAGAGGAACAGACAAGTTGCTGTCCTTTTGTTCTTCAGTCTAGTTGTGGAGGACGTTGCTTCACTGGCCCAAGATGGCACCATCATTAAGCTCTTCCCGGGCGAGGCAGATCAGTCGCCGGCTTCTGGACAGCCACTCACTGCGGCTACTGGCCACTCATGCTGGCTGCTGGCTACACACGGTAGCCCATGGCAACCCACTGCCACAGGGGCTGCAGCCTACGCTGTCGCCGGTGACTCACGGCAGCCCAGCTCCAGGTTGAGCTGTTGTTCAGCATCTTAGCTGTGGAGGGCAGTGTCACTGGCCCTCATATGTGGGATCCGAACCGAGGCCCTCTGGCGTCCCAAGCCAGTTCTTAACCATCGTGCCACTTGGCCGGCCCAACAGCAATTCTTTAAAATGGAAATTGTTAGAATAAAGGAAGCACTGTTGTTATATATTAGTATTACTACTGTTAAGGATGTCAAAATACTGTTGTCAGATTTCTTTCCCTTCTACCTAGTCCTTAGAACTCCGAGGAAACTTCATTCCATTTTCTGAAATTAGATGCTACTTCAAAGATTTTAGAAGTAAACCATGAAATGAGGACACTAAAGAAGCATCCATTTTTGCGGATTACTGTTAAATAACATCTTTCTCCCAAATTAATAATGTAACCACAATGTTTGTCAAATATCCCAAAGATCTACTTTAGACATACCCAGCATTACCTGAAGCCAAATCTGGTTATTTCAGATGGCTTGGAGCTTGGCTCTGGAGTAAGAAAAGGTCCTATGTCTTTCCCTCCCTCCGTCTCTCCCTCCCTCCCTCCCTCCCTCCCTTTCCCCACTCATATGACCTTCTGGTGCTCCTTATCTATGTCTAGGGCAACCCCTTCAGTGGAAGGGGTACCTCAAAAAATAATGTGCTAACATGCTCGTGGGGCAGCATTCAAAGAGATGCATTTGTAAAGCACGGTGCTTATTTGCTGTAGCTCCCGTACTTCCTCCATCAAGATGTTTGTGCCTCAGTTGTTAAGTAGATGCAGTCAAAGATTATCTCTTTAATTTTTAACATTGTCAAAGTTAATATACACCCTTTACTTTGCAACATTATCAATGTTAATATAAACCTTTTAATTTTTAACATTTTAGAAGTTAATATAAACTCCGTTAATGCTTCTTAGCTGATCGGATGTGGGAAGGACCTTTATGAACTAGTTGTGTGTAGTTTTTCCGGTAGGCAGCCAGCCAGTACATTTTTTTGGTGATGATATTGTCAACAGTCATAATGATGTCTACCCTTATTTATAGTATTTTTTGTATACAAAGTACTATCATCCTCAGTACCTCGTTTGAGAGTCTCCTTAGACCCCTGCTCACCGCTCCAGGCTTCTTCCCCAGTCGCCGCTGCCATCTCATGCTGCTGCTCCCCCAACCCCTGGAGCTTCGTACTCTGTGCATCAACTCCTTTCCTCATTCTTCCAAGTATAGCTAACATGGTGATTATGTGTAGTATACTTTACTAAGTGTGTTAGTTACTTAGGGCTGCCATAACAAAGTAGCACAAACTGAGTGGCTCAAACAACAAAAATTTGTTGTCTGAAAGTTCTGGAAGCTAGAAATCTGAAAACAAGGTGTCGGCAGGGTTGTTCTTTCTGAGAGCTGTGAGGGAAGGATCTCTTCCAGGTCTTTCTCCTTAACTTATAGATGGCTGTATTCTTCATGTGTCTCAACATTGTCTCCTCTTTATGCATGTCTCTGGGTGCAAATTGCCCTTCTTATAAGGACACCAATCATATTGGATTAGGCCCACCCTAATGATTTCATTTTAACTTTATTACCTCTTTAAAGACTCTATAGCCAAATAAGGTGACATTCTGAAGTACTTACATGTTAGGACTCAACTTATCTTTTTTAGGGGTACACAATTCAACCCATAATACTTAAGGCTTAAAGTTAACACACGGAAGATACAGCCTAGAAAGGAAAAACGTAAACTGACTCTCAGATGTCATTGTCATGGAATACACTGGCTATGCCTGGTACAGGGTCTGATTCTCTCCCTCCTTATGTCCAATCTGCTACCATGTTTCTGGGTCCTGCTCATCATCCTGCATGGAATTCTAGTTTATGCACATCTTTCACTCCCTATGATGGTTAATTATGTGTGTCGACTTTACTGGGCCCCAGGATACCCAAATATTTGGTCAAACATTATTCTGTATGTTTCTGCGAAGGTGTTTTGGGATGAGATTAACATTTAAATAAGTAGACTGAGTAGTGCAGATTCCTCTTCATAATGTGGGTGGGCCTCAGCCAATCAGCTGAAGGCTTGCATGGAGCATAAGGCTAATTAATCCTCCCCTGAGTAAGAGAATTCTCTGGCCTGAGAGCCTTCAAAACAGGAACCTCAGCTGTTCCTGTTTCTACAACAGCTTCCAGCTTTAAGACTCCAACTGGAACATTGACTCTGCAGCATACACGCACGCGCACACACACACACACACACAATTGGTTCTGTTTCTCTGGAGAACCATGACTAATATACTCCCTAATACCAGGTCCTACCTAATAAAGAAACATCACAAAAAAAAAACCATAAGTATCCCTTCAGAATTCCAACCTACCTGCCACAGAGCCAGCCCTTTATCTTACTAAAAACAATACCCAACTCCCCTAATCTTAAGCTTTCACATCTAGGTTATTCCCCTGAGTTTCAGCCATCTTTATAACTAAAAGTGCTCCCCCATTGGTCTCTCTAAGGATAAAGGAAGAGCCTGCCCCAAAGATAAAATCCTGCTGCCAATCTTAGTGCAGTCATGAATTGAGAAACACTAAGGCCTACACTCAGCACTGTGTTACTTCTCACATTTTGTTTGTGGACATTTCAAATCACAGAAGACTTCCTCACATTCTCCTCATCTAATTTCATCTAGGGCTTTTCATGCAGCTACACAATTCCCTTATTAACTGTCTTTCATAGCTTAATATTACATATGTATGACTTTGTAAAAAAATTAGCTTTTGGGCCAGCCAAGTGGCTCAGTTGGTTAAAAGTTAGCTTAAGAGCGCAAGCTCTGAGCAACAGGGCTGCTGGTTCGATCCCTACATGGGCCAGTGTTGCTGTGCCCAAGCTGAGCTGCCACTGAGCTGCCAACACGTGGCACGATGTCTCAGCTGGTGAGAGCATGTGCTCCTAACAACAACACTGCCTGTCCCATGGTGGGCTACGCCTGCCCGCAACTAAGACTGAACTCAGCACCTTGAGCTGAGCTGCCGCCCAGGTAGCTCAGTGGATATAGCGTGCACTCTTAACAACAAGGCTGCTGGTTCGACTCCC